CCCAAACAAATTCGTAAAAAAGCAATGTCCTTCAAACAAATGTCAAGCAAAAAAGCAATATCGTTCAAACAAATTTCAACCAAAAAAAAGCAATGGTTCTCTTTTTCAACAGGCGGTGTCCTTCAAACTGACTCTACTAAAAAGCAATGTCAGTCAAACAAATGTAACAAAAAAAGCAATGTCATACAAACAAATGTCAACAAAAAATTAAAAAATCAAACAAATGGCAAAAAAACAATTTATCCATCAACATAAAGCAATATATATTCAAACAAATGTCAACAAAAGAAGCAGTGTCCTTTCAAACCATCAACAAAAAAAGCAATGTCCTTTGAATCAACCAAAAAGCTAATTTGTCAGGAAATGTCAACATGATGTTATCGGCCAAACAAATGTCAACCGTGCAGCATCCTTCAAACAAAAGGTCAACAAAAAACAATAGCTTCAAACAAAGGTCACCAAAAAGCAATGTCCTTCAAACAAATGTCAACAAAAAGAATGTCCTTCAAATGTCAATTTGGGGGCAATGTGATAAATAAATGTCAGCAAAAGAAGCAATATCAAGTCGTCAAAGGTGACCGAAGCAATGTCCTTCAAACAAAGGTCAACAAAAAAAGCAATGTCCTTCAAACAAATGTCAACCAAAAAAAAGCAATGTCCTTCAAACAAATGTCAACCAAAAAAAAGCAATGTCCTTCAATCTCCAACAAAGAAGCAATGTCCTTCAAACAAAGGTCAGCAAAAAAGCAATGTAAAAAAAACAAAGGTCAACCAAAAAAGGTCCTTGAACAAATGTCAACAAAAAAGCAATGTCCTTCAAACAAATGTCTTCAAAAAAGGGATTGTCCTTTAGCCGCCAACTAGGAACTACAAGTTTTGTCCTCGAATACTATTGGACAGCATATATAAATATATATATATATATATAGGGGTCATCCACAGACAGACTGTCTGTTTGTGGCATGGTTCACAGCTCATCAGGGTTTTTCCATAGTGACCCGGTTGATCCTCTAGCTAGGATCGAAACCCGATGAATTGGTGCCCAGTGGGTGATGAATAACCCTAACGTCGCCATCACTATTCATCACGCCAAACACTGGAGGTTTGGACATATCATCCATTTTTCCGAATCTTCTGCACGCTTCAGTGACCGAAAGTGATTCAATTCGCATCAAAGCGAAGAGTCATATCGTTCCAAATTTTCTTAATTGCGTCACTCTTTTTTTTTCACAACCCACAACTCGTCCCTATAGAGTCGACAACATAACAAACTGCAAATTGAAATTAAAAAAAAGAAAATGGCGATAATTTATATATATATATATATATATATATATATATATATATATGTATGGGGTGTGTGTGTGTGTTTTGACCATGAGTCCTGGGTTTGAATCTCACCATTTTGATTTGTTGGAGGAGCTTAGATATTATCGGCCAAAAGTAGGAACTCCGTGCAGCATCCTTGAAAGTGCCTGATAACTACAATCTAAAATTAGAGGACTGAAACCTGTCGTTTCTGTTTTTCACGAAGTCTTGTTTCGTCGTGACCGAGGGTTTGTGTCTAAAAAATTATTTAAGAGGTCAAATTGTGTTGGCCTCTAGATAACTGCTCTCTCCCAGAAACTGTAAGTAAGGTTTTTAAAGATGATTTAAACCAACCTTACTCTGTACTTTTCAATTTCAAAGATAGACCCTTAGGGATTAAGCCTCCCTAGTAGACGGGGTGTCCTCGAATACTATTGGAATCTAATATATATCCTCAAATGCGTGTGTGTATTAAAATGTGTGTGTGTGTAATTATTTTTTGTACCATGGAGCTGTTGACCTGATGAACCAAAAAAATATATTTTCTGAATCCTTGGAAATAAATTATAATCTAAAATTTTAAATGTAACCTTTCTTAATTTTTCAATCTTCTCTTTTTCTTTGGTGTTGCATTGAGCTCTCTGGATTACATCCTCTTTGGAATTATCCACACGGATTACCAAATCCTTCATTACCTTACTATATATATATATATATATATATATATATATATATAGATAGATATATATATAGATATTCTATGATTGTTTATTTTTACTTAAATTTCAAAATGGTGCCTTTTACCAAAAGTGGCACCCTAAGGACACGCGTTCAGGCATCTGCCCCACCCTTATTACGCATCCATCTCCAGCAATAGAAGTTGGGTAGTGTGCATAAATAAATAAAGAAATAGACTTTTATTGGTTCCCACGGCGCAGTTGTTGGCTTGCAATTAATGTTTCAGTATTTCATCATAATATTTTCAAGAGAAAAAAAGGACAATCTGATTCTTACAGAGAAATCGAGACATAAAATTCTATTAGTCTCTTTTCATGGTTCCGCTGCGAAACGCTGTTGATTTTTTGAGTGATTGACGCATTCCATGAAATTACGGTAATTAAAGCAGTTCGATAGAATCAAAAAGTTTGATGATTGTTTATTTCATGCACGCCTTCTTATGATACAACTTAGAATATTTCTTAGATTTTCAAAAGATACTAAAAATTGGCACTAGTCAAATTAACTGGTCCCACACATAAAAAAAGAGAAAATTTTTTTGTTTTTCTTTTTTTTGTGGGGGATAATTACTTTTTCTAGGGGATAATTAATTTTTCTAGGGGATAACAATTTTTCTGGGGGTAATTAATTTTCTGGGGATAATTAATTTTTATGGGAGATATTCACTTTTCTGGAGGATAATTAATATTCTGGGAGATAATTAATTCGGGGGATAATTAATTTTCTGGGGGATAATTATTTTTCTCGGGGATAATTAATTTTTTTAGGGGATAATGAATTTTCTGGTGTATGATTAATTTTTGTAGATTAGCATTCGTTCGACATTTTCAGAATCGAAAAATATTGAGTTTTTTATTATGTTAGGATGTTCTGTTCATAATATAAATACAATATCAAATCGATCCTCGACTTTTTAAAAGAGTTGTCTGAAACTATGCTTGCACCACTGATAACTGCATACTACTGATGTCGTCTTTTTCCCAGGTCGTAGTTGACACTGTATTTATATTAGAAACAAGATATATATATATATATATATATAGTGCTGGTGTTAATAAAACAGTGCTCGATGTAATAAAACAGAGCTATTAAGTATATATTTATAAATAAAATAGATAAATCTATAGCCCAACATAACAATATTGTATTTAAAAAAATACATGTCCAACCTAGACAACAGAGTTATTTCTTAAATGCAACCGCTGAAAAAATATGATCTGTCCCGTAAAAGGTCAATGTAAGACTGATAATATTGTATACTGATCTAGCATACATGTCAAAATTTATTGGAAATTTTGTTTCTACTATCATCGAATGATTTTAACAATAGAAAATACATAAAATGCACCGCTATCTCAAAACATTATTGGAAAACAAAGAATGGTTTTAATACACCTATTATTACGTGGGATATTGTAACTAAAACCAAATCTTACAATGGGAAAGGCAATAATTTAAGTCTTGTTAAAAAATTAAATATCTTAAAACACTTATATAACCTTAACTTGTTAAACATGAGAAATGAATTGAAAGTTACATGTAGGCATAAAAGTAAATATCTGCTTGAATACGTTGATCCAGATTAATTTTTAATGTAAATTATGTTTTTTAAAGAACCAGTAATCCCCTTCATGCTTAACACGAAAAAATTAATATTCACTACACTAAAATATTTTTGCAT